ATAAAATTCATAACTTAATAACTTATAACTTATAAGTTATAAACTTATAAGTTACCTTATAAAACTTATAATTATAATTTTATAACTTATATACATTATAAACTTATTAATTAATAATGTTGTCATTAAAAAAAAAAAAAAAAAAAAAAAATGAAAACTGCACCAGCCCGCAGCCCGGCACGTGGCCGGCACGGCACGAGCCCGCCAGGCACGAGGGCCGTGCCGTGCCGTGGGCTGGCCTGTGAAAATGGCCGGCACGGCACGGCACGAAATCCTGGGCCCGCCGGCACGACCGGCACGGCACGAACCAGCCCGCGGCCCGCCAGGCACGGCCCGCGGCGGCCCGGCACGGCACGGTGCCCAGGATTACTTGTTGAGCATCTTCGAAGGGACCATCATGTACAAATATCTCACTGTAATCATTTCTGTCTCCACCATAATCCTGCATCAGTTAGATATTATATTTAAATACATATAATTATGTAAAGCGTAAATTAACACAAAATTCAAAACATAATTATGTTATAACAGTATTCATACACATACAAAATTAAAACACAATCATTTATAAAAGTATTCATACACATACAAAATTAAAATATAATTATGTGTAAAAGTATTCATACACAAACAAAATTAAAACATAATTAATTTTTTTGTAAATTATTAACGCAAATGTAATTTCCACATACAAAATTATAAAATAAATTTATCAGCAAATATGTAAAACATAATTTCAAGTTATACATTTTTTTTTTACAATTTAAATTTAGGGATATCAAATTTATATAAAAAAAATTAAAAAAAAACAAACAAACAAACAAATTAAAAATCTAATTTCCACATAAAAAATTAAAAAATAAATTTATTAACAAATATTTAAAACATAATTTCAAATAAAACATTTTCTTTTTTTTAACAATTTCAATTTATCAAATTTATAAACAAAAAAAAAACAAAAAAATTAAAAAAAAAAAAGGCAGTGGCGCCTGGCTGGACCACCACTACCATGGCAGTGGCGCCTGGCCAGGACGCCGGCACGGTGGGAGTGGCACCTGGCCAGGACGCCAGGACCGTGAGAGTGGCGCCTAGCCTGGAAGCCACCACCACGGTTCCGGCGTCCTGGCCAGGCGCCACCGCCACGGTGCCGGCGTCCTAGCCAGGCGCCACCGCCATGGCACCGGCGTCCTAGCCAGGCGCCCCAACCATGACGGTGGTGGTCCATGCTCACGCCGCCGACGATGATTTACCTCATTTAATGCGACGACGACGGCTTTTCGGCGTCCCTCGACCCAATACGGCTCCACATTTTTCGATGTCAGAATTTTTTGTTTTTGGTAAGATTTCACAAATGGGCAAAAGTGTCAAACCAAGTGTCTTTTTCAATTCGATTTTTCGATGTCAGAATTTTTCGTTTTTGGTAAGATTTCACAAATGACCAAAAGTGTCAAACCAAGTGTCTTTTTTAATTTGATTTTTTGATGTCATAATTTTTCGTTTTTTGTAAGATTTCACAAATGGGCAAAATTGTCAAACCAAGTATATTTTGTGGGCTTTATGTAGTAATTTGTGGGCGATGTTTAACAAATCCCTAGTGCATTACACTATGTTATTCAAATTGAACATAGCGCCTTTGTTTAAGATAAAATATTACTCCATACATTTCATAATAATTTAAACACCTTTTCTTTTTATCATTTTCGGATTAACTTTGAATATTTTTTATTTAAAAAAGACCTTATTATTGTTATAAAAGTATCTCACTATCGTCTATCACATCCACTTATTAATAAATAATAATTGCTAATATTTCAGCAACTTATTGCTTAAAACTATGTGCCTAAAATTGTTTGTATTTTTTAAAATAATAATAAATAGTAGTCTTTAAATTATACTGAAATATATGTACTGTATTATGAAATTTTAATACTTCGTTCTCATGAGTACGTGGTCAATATGAGAATAATGATGAAAAGAATAAAGACGTAAATTTATTTTTCCATGCATAAAATTTCACAATAGAAAGTTACACCGTGTTATTCAGTTTAAGTTGAACATGCTTTGTTTCATGACAAAATGTTATTTGTAAAACTTACCATATGAATTGGTTGAATTTCATTTCCAAATAAAAAAAATCAAAGCAAACTGTGTGAATGAAACCCACAAATTCTAAACCCCCTTCTCCACACGGTAATTTGAATTAATATGATTAAATTGACTGATAACGTGTATAATTAAGTAAATAAATAATTGAATGAATAAATTGTCTTTATTATATATGAGTACAAAGAATTGGTAACTTGGTAAGAGATGAGCAACAAAAGCAAAGTGTTCGTGTAAGATTGCTTGCTTGCGTGTTCCATGCGCGTCACGCCGAAAGAAACGACGAATACTATCCGAATACAATAGTTTATGCTTATCTTCTACTGCTGCTAACTCAAGATTTGTAGCTTTAGAATTCTATTTGTCAACATCAATATTTTTTTATTTTATTAGGAATTTACGTACAATCTTAAGATTTAATTTGTACTTGGCTATAATAATACATTATTCTTAGATTCTTTCCCATTGCACATAATTATTACGAAGTATGAGATTATGAGTACTTCCTTTGTACAGCTAACCTTCTTTATTTTTTATGTAAAAATTATTTTGATGAATTCGTTTGTTTACTTTTAATTACAATTTACAAGTGAGCAACTTAAGGATGTCTTGCAAGTAAAAAAAAACGGTGAAAATGTACTTCCTAATATATAATGAAACAATCTAAATTGGATAAGATGCATGATAGACTCATACCATACATTATCATATCAATACATTAGGTTTGATTATATTAATAAGAATGTCACGCAAGTCTATATTATTGAAAAACCTTTAACATTTATTAAATTCTTTACTTGGTATGTGGTTTTTGTCTAATATTGTACAACAATTGGGCAAAGCTTAGGATCATCTCTTTCGAGCTATACCCTCTCCCTTAATAAAAGTATCATCAAATGACATTGTTAAAAGTATATTGTTATCTAAGAGAGTTCAATCCATACTCCGTATAAGAAGGGTGATAAAAAAAATAAAAAAATAAAAAATAAATAAAATAAAAAGGTGATACACCGTGTAGTGATTATTGATCAAATTGTTGATTAATCCTATAATTTCTCAATTTTAGGGTCCTTCACTTATTTGTTTCATAAGAGAAAGTGACAATCATAATAACAGTGACATAAAAAAAATTAAAAAAAAAACAAATAAATAAATAACATAAAATTTGCAAGAAAGCACGACCCTAAATTTTTTAAGATTTTCCATAATTAGATTTTGGACTATTATTACTCTTGATGATGTATACTATTCTTGGTGATTTTTACCATTCATTAGTTTTAGTGTGAGAAAGATGATTCAAAATAAGAACAAAACGAAAATTTTATGTATATCTAATTTATTATTATAAAAATATGTTATCACCAAAAGTAAAACTTGGCTCACATAGAAATTACTCACTTACTCAGTCTCAGCCTTTGATTACCATGAATTTTATTTTACATGTACCATCTAACTACTAATTAAATATAAATTCATGAAAGAATTATCAAGTTCATTTAGCAACTTTGTTAGAAACAAAAAAAAAAGCCATTTACAACTAAGATAAGTCCGTAATATACATTAAAGGCCAATGGACCTATTAAGCTAATTCATATACGACGTCCTTCTTAACAAGCTAAGCTTGGTCTATTGGAAAGGGTTTGTATCTTGCAACCTTAAAGTTGGGGGTTCAATCCCCACTAGAGGCACTTTGGGGTGGGAATTCCCTTACCCTTCCCCCCCACTCCCAAAGTGCCTATCCCGCTAACTCGGGCCTGGAGGACCTGTGAGAAATCCAAAAAAATACGACATCTTTCGTATTATACAAGTATTACGGAGTACATATCAATTCAAACACGAGTCAATTTAGCCAAAGTTGTAACCACAAGAATTTATCCAACATCATTAAGGAATTTTCAACTTAAAATTTTAGAGGCTCACAACTAAGCATGTTAGCCTGTTAGGCCTAATTTGAAACAAACTTTCCTACCATATATTTGTTTAACACACTTTTTTGTTTACTATTTTTTTCCTACTTTATTCTATATTGTGCAAACTCTATTTTCTACATATATTAATCCTCTTATTTTCATTCACTCCAACCTAACTACTTAATTCAAATTTTACCTGTAACATTCATAGTCTCAAAAATTTACTAATCCATGTATCTACATTTAATGAGTAAAACAACGAATGAATATGTTAGAGACAACTCAAGTACTCAACCAAAAACACGTTTAATATTCCACTTTGAAAGGAAGGGGAGGATGAGGTTTAAACATGTGATTTTTGTGTCACGTTGGCTCTGATATCATGTTAGACAACCTACTCAACCAAAAGTTTAAGCTGATGATTAAAGCATATAATCGGTTTATATACACTATATACTATCGATCGGAATGGATAAGTTTATAAGCATTATTTAATACAATATTGAGGTTAAGTTTTTCAATTAAGACGGTTAATATCGGGTACAAAAAAAATTCATGATAACGTGATACAAACCGTATGATGTTTAGACGAGACTTTTGACATAAAAATCCAATTCCATGCACCGACCCCCTACGCTGCGGCTATTGACGTTGATTTATTCTAATTCTACAAAATCCAATTTCATAATTATTTAATACTAATCAAAATATATGTCCCTACTTTTAATTTAAAAACAAATCAACGGCTTCTTTGACCTTTTCTTTCTTTCTTACCTTTTCAACTTTCAACGGTCAAACTTCAATACTTCTCTACTTCTCCTCCTCCTTTGTTTGAACTTATTACAACGTTTTTATTATACTGTATAACCTATATTGTTGGGTCTTCGGTCGTTATTATTATTTTTATAATATGGTTTTTGACCTTTTGTACCGCGTATAAATATATAACATAAACTTTATATTATACCTACCCCATATATATATACTTTGTCTTTGCAACAAACTTCATTCATTCAAAACATAATTTGTCATCTTATATTCACCAAAAACATACCAGTAGTATTAAACACTTACATAACTTTAATTTGATCATATTATTAAAACATATTTACCAGTACAAAATGATTTCTTCATGGAGAAGGAAGAGAGCGAGCCGAGGGGCGGCCGGGGGTGATCAAGGCGGGGGGAAGAGGAAGCCGACGGAGTTGATTGTTCCGAATCATTTCCGGTGTCCGATATCTCTAGATTTGATGAAGGATCCGGTGACTTTATCGACAGGAATATCGTATGACCGCGAAAATATAGAGAAATGGATTGAGGCAGGTAATGTAACATGTCCTATGACTAATCAAGTCTTAAGGACACTTGAGCCTATCCCAAACCATACTATTCGAAGGATGATCCAAGACTGGTGTGTCGAGAATCGATCCCAAGGGATAGAACGGATCCCCACGCCTCGGATTCCGATAAGCTCAGATGAGGTGGGGACCATCTTGGAGAGGATCTCGACGTCGCGGACCCCACAAGAGTGTAAAGACCTAGTGGGTAAAGTAAGCAAGGCTTTGAAGGAGAGTGATAGGAATAAGAGGTGCATTGTAGGGAATGGGGCTAGTAAGACCTTGTCCCTTGCATTCCAAGCTTTCGCGGATAGCGAGGGCGAAACCGTCATTTCACTCTTGGAAGATATTATGAGTATTCTTACATCTATAACCCCCTTAGACTCACAAGCACTGGTGAGTCTAAAGTCACCAAACTCCCTAGGGCGTTTGGTGTGGTTTTTAAGACGCGGAGGTTTATCTGGGATAAGAAACGCGGTTATGATCCTTAAAGAACTCGTTTCGAGCTCAAAAGATCACGAGAAAGTGGTTGAATCATTGGTTACAATGGAAGGAGCTATGGAAGGGTTGGTCAAGCTAATCAAAGAGCCAATTTGTCCAGCTTCTACCAAAGCATCATTGGTTGTAATATACCATATGATCATATCAACTCATGATTTTTCAAGCAAGAATGTGATCATAGAAAGGTTCATAGACATGGGTTTAGTCTCATTAGTCCTAGACATTCTAGTAGATGCTGAGAAGAGCGTTTGTGAGAAGGCACTCGGGGTCCTCGATGGCCTTTGTCGAAGTGACAAAGGCCGTGAGGCGGCCTACACTCAAGCACTAGCAATACCTGTGGTGGTTAAGAAGATACTAAGGATCTCCGAGTTAGCGACCGAGTTCTCGGTCTCCGTCCTTTATAGGTTGTGTGAGAATGAGGAAAGGGAAGATGGAGGTGTTATTGTTGAAGCTCTACAAGTTGGTGCATTTCAAAAGCTTTTGCTGATTTTACAAGTTGGTTGGAATATTAATGAGAGGGTTAAGGAGAAGGTTACTAAATTATTGAAGCTCCTAAATCTTTTTAGAGATAAGTTAGAGTGCATTGAATCCATGGATTTTAAGGATCTTAAAAGGCCATTTTAAGATGATCATATTAATAGTTCATACCACATTCTTTTTGCAGTTAATTAATAGGGTGTTTAGTCTCTTTAATTTTGCTGTACAGCAGATTAATTAGTGATTTTTAGCATACATTTGCAAATGCCAATGTACAAAATACACAAATGGAAGATAATTAATACTATATAGATATACCATTCTTTGTTAATAAAATATCACAAAAATGAACTTTTTGTGCTTGAATTTCTTCATTTTTTGTAATTCTAGCAATTAGATTCCTAAACATAAGCATGTCACATACCCAAAGATCAATACTTGAATACTTAATTACATACGTGTTATACATTGAAATAACGTCCAATTAAAATAATAGGTAACGTTATTTGATTACAGAGCTTTAACATAAACTATAACAGACGAAATTGCTTGATACTTCTTAGATGGAGCAACGGTTCACTAACACATACGACTATCGGTTTATCTTTTTGTCTGAATAAAATTTGTTAGACAATTGATCGATATTGACTAATCTATGATAGATTAAAAATAAATCACAGCTAAAATCCAGCAAAAATTTGATGATTGAGGATCGCTTGGACCCTAGCCAATTAATTTTAGGACAAGAAATTAAAATTGTGGTCAAAAACATGCGTAAGACCTAAAACAGGACATAAAGAATGAAAACCAAGTGTTGTTAAACAGGTACATCTAGAATATGAAATGAAAATTAAATAAGCCGTTTCAATTGACTAACTTTTAGTCTTATAATTCCAGGTTGGCAAACTAAAACACCCCAAACTTAATTTTAAAAATCTAATCCTATGATGAAATTTGTTCAACTGGCTACTTTGTAACGTAAGCTCTGGTGACGCAAATTAGCAATTGGAATTTGAGAATTTCGTATCCTATGAAGTATTTGTATGTATATTATTATATCCTATGTCGTCATTTTATGTAAATTAAATCACAATCAATCTAAGCTTGTTTGGATCTAGGAGACAAAATTTGATAAATTAGAAATTATCATTTTAACAAATTTTCAATATCTATAAGTGGCTCCTACCAAGACATGCTAAATCGGTCGATTTTAAATAGGGTCAAGTTTTAGTTCAAGTTAGTTTTTGATTTATGTTAGATTTTGGGTTGAAATATTGCGTTTAAGACCCTAAAATTTCCGGTTTTTTGCCGGTGTCCAATTGCCTGTGGCAGGGTGGACTAGAGGTGATCACATTTATGCGTCCGCACGTATGCATTAAGTGAGAAAAGTTGGCAATTGACCTTTAATTTGGAAATACATTAATGGCTTAGCTGCAAGAGAAGTAGAGCACTATAACCGTGTATTGTATTCGATTTGGTCAATTGTAAGTTATTACCTGTCCTGTAAACTGGCACTCTTACGGTTCAATGACAATCGGCATTAAAAGAATACAATATGTGAATATACATAAATAATCGGACTAGATAACTGAGTAATATTTGGTATATTTAGTTGACAAGGGTTTCACCTTATTCGATGTAGTCATGTAATTCGCACCCTCGTCGATACTTTAGATAGTTGACATATTGGGGAGACAGTGCCGAAAACATGAGATTGAATCCTGTCTACATTTTGTCCATAGTGGCTCTTTTAACTTCACCAAAAAGTACAGTACTCCGGTATTGTTTATGCAGAAGTCAAATAGCTTCATACAATAAGTAACCTTAACTAGCGAAAGATCAATTACCTCCTCGCAAACTTCTACTATATCATATTCAAATGGTCCCCTCCGAAAAAAAACACACATGGCCACATGATGCACAAAGGATAAGTCGATTATGATGGCTGAAGAATTGTACTTTGCAAGTTGTTTTTTACATTGCCACTAGCAAACTGAATATTGTAAGGGCAGCAGTTAAACCACTTAACCAATTCTCTTTTGTCCTGACTCTTGATTGACTGAAACACCGATAAAAGTTAACATCAGTTCTAAATCCTGCTAACAAGGCTTAACAGTCGGATGGAAGCAAGAATAATACAAGGTTAATGTGACTGTTCAGTTTTCTGCAAGTCTGCAACATCTGGCATCAAATAATGAACTTGTATAGTAAGAGAATTAAGCAACTTGTTCACAGTTAAACATTCATCATATGGAAGGAGAAAACCTCAAAGAAATGTTGATATCAATGGCAACTTCTTTCTACTTGACACGAATTTAATTACATTTATCAAGATTATGAACCAGCTTCTTACAGATATCTATTAGCAAAATCTCCATCCTTTGATGGAAATATCTGGACTCTAATGAAACAGATTAATTTCTCTGGGTGCATTAAAATCCCTGTATGTAAAGACTAAGGAAGGTGTTCAAGGACCAGTTACATCTCCTCCCTGAATATTAGACTTACAGTTTCTGATACAGAAGCAAGCTTAACTGCTTAATCATCCATTTTTATTTTTATTCTTATTTATTTTTTTATTTTTATATATGTGTTCAGAGAGTCACAAAGGCGGATGATGATAATCAATCCCAAGATTGATCCCCTGAAACCCGTAGGAATGCTCTAACCAACTGAGCTATCCCCCACTCTCAATCATTCCAAATTATGTGAGTAGTGGTCTCATATTCTATGATCCATTAGATCCATATATGAAAATAAAAGAAATTGCAATGACAAAGTCAATGATGAGAGCTAATGCTAGAATAAATCGATGAAATACAGGCCAATTAAATGCAATCGTAATTAAAAAAAAAAAAACTACTGGCAAAAAATGAAAACATGCAATCTATTCTCTTTTCTTATTGATACAAAACTAACTCAAAAGTGTATTATTTTCCCAGTCTACATCTTCGGACTATACAACCAGATCTAATTTCGTAGTTGCATGCAGCATTGTTTACTAGATGGCTACTTGCATTGAAGTGGTCAACTCTTGGAGCATGTACATGTAACATGTACTTTAAGAGAATATTCAACAAAAACACAACATATTATTAGATTTTGTCCCACAGCTATATTCTCTGTATATTCTAAATTTACAGGTATGTTTTTAAAAAAGCTTCAAAGAGTATGATTACTTGTCTGATATATGCAAAAGAAGAATTCTTTGGTGGTTGATAGATTACCATCAAAATAATCTAAAGAGAAAGCAAACGCAAAAGCAGAATAAAGATGAAATCGGTGCCTCAGATTTGATGCATGTAGTCATTTAGATCGTTAGTCAAGCTGGACGGTGAAATAGAAAATAAAAATTATGAGATTTAACAAAGATATTAATTAAATTTTTAAATATAATAAAAGGGTAGAAAAAGTTTCAGCTCAAAAAAACAGATGCATAGCCAAAAAGTAAATCATGATTAAGGTCAAATATAACAAGGGCACACATAAATGGAAAATAAGGATGAGGAACCAAGATTTTAAAAATTTTACCTGGAACCTGAAAGCCCACTAATGCTGACCACTTGACCAGTATAATGTCTTTTGCTCTGGGTTGGCGCAGCAACAAAACTTTACAGGGTATTATTTTAATTCCGACCTCCCCTGCTGGACAGCAAAAATTAGAATTGGATTATTGCTAGTGAAGTGTGATTTTAAAACCCGAAATCTGAATTCATCACAAAAAAAGTATGTTAGTTAACTGAACAAGCAAGCAAACAACATAGCTTGGATACTATTAATCATGAATCTTGCCATTCACTGCAGCATAGTATTTCAGGATATATAATATGAGAAATTATGCTTTGAATGGTGTAATACACTGATACACATGTAAAAATAACACATTTCTCTACGTTAGCTTTTTTTTTTTTTTCTCTATGTTAGCTAAGATTAAGCCCGGGAGCTTGATATAAAAGAAGGAGATAGAACTGGATATCACTGACAAAAACAGACCAACTACCAATCATAGATACTGATTAATGATTATTATGAATTCCCATCCTTTGTAGCATAAGTTTTAAGGTATGGAGAAAATGCTTGGAATGACCGAAGTCACCGAACACACAAGGAAACTCACAGCAATGTATTTCTTCCTTTTTCATATAGCATAGTCACAAGTTTAAATCGAATCAGCATTTAGTGTAAAAGAGGGGTGGGGGGAAAGGGAGAAAAGCTGAAGACATTTAAAATTCTACTTAAGAGCAGAGGGGAAAAAAAAGTTTCATCATTCAAACCACAATTACAGCAACGTTGTAGAATTTAAAAAGCACAATGACTCATACATGTACAGAGCCTCATATAGAGTGTCATCCAAGCACATCCGACAATGAAAACAATTCTTTTCAAATATTTGTAAACATGTACAGTTGTTTGAAACCAGTAAGAACAAAATACGAGACCTGAAGTCCAGGACTTCACCTCAACATATAGTCCTCAATGTCAAACTGATGTGATTGCCAGTTTGGTGTCACTTTCACTATCATATCCTTTCATTTGATCATCTAAGTTAAACCGACATATTTGATAAAAGGCACCTACACCCAAAGATCATTGCCACCACATGCTCCTTAATAAATATATAATAGGAGAAAGTACTATAATATATAGTATGATTTGCCAAATGATGTGATAGGCATGAATCTATCATATTGACTTGCAACATGCGGAAGAAAACAGTTAATGCTTGACAATGACAGATATTGAGATATCTAAATTATGCAAGTGAAATACCTCTTATAAACTTCACTATCTGGGCCCAATGAGCAATTCTTTGATCACAAACACTAACTGCAATCTTTATTGTTCATACAAGTATACAACACATTCCATCCGTCTCTTGAAAAGATGAGCGAAAAAACCACAGATACTATCTGTTAACGTCCTTGACAGGCACTAAGAGCCAGGGCACATGAAAATTCAGGTCTCAGTCGTATAATTTGATATTTGCATGTGGAAAAAGCCTGTGATGAGCCTGCCAATATTTTCTGCTTCCAGTATGCATAAATGAGCAGAGGAAGACAAAAGATGTTGATGAGTTTGCATATTCTTAGCATCCTCCATTTTAGCAAGACATGAAATATTAAAACAATCAAATTTTTTATGAATTGGGATCTTCAGAATATATTCTAAGGGGCCACTGGCTGATTAAGCCTTAATCTGAATCATCTCTTTGTAAAGAAGATGAGCCCTTTCTTTATTACCATTTTCAAGGTGAGCAGATATCAGTGATTCATAGATGCACATGGTTGGGTTAAGTGACTGTTTTTTCATGATGGTCAGATACTTATCTGCTTTATCCAGCTTTCTGCATTTACACAAAGTCTTGATCAGTGATGTAAAAATTGGTAATCCAGGAGACAGTGACCTAAATTCCATTTCATAGTATAATTTCAGAACCTCCTGAAAGTTGCTCTCACTTCCGTAGCCATCAATCAGATGAAGAAATGTTGTTTCATCGGGCAAATACCCTTTCTCCATCAAAACAGTTAACATATCATTGGCCTGCTTCATATTTCCTGATTGACATAGCTTTCCTACCATCTCATTAAAAGCTGTAGTGCCAGGGAGCAAACCTTTTTCGGACATTTCTTCACAAAATCGATAACTGTCCACTAAGGCCCCTATATTAGCACAAGCCATTATAAGATAGTTATAAGTATCATCATATGGCTTTAGATCCATGTTTACCATTTCATCCATCAATTTCAGTGCCTCTTCAACCATTCCCTCCTCACAATAGCCTCCAATAAAAAGAGTATAAACAAATGAGTTGGGAAGAAAACCACTACTCAGCATTTGTTCATACACCTCTCGTGCCAAGCTTAGTTCTCCACATCTTAGTCTAGCATAAACAACCAATGAGTAAGAAACATCATCAAGCAGCAGCTTATTCTGTAACAGCCTTTTCAGTAAAACAAGTCCTTTCTCAATTCTCCCCTCCCCTAACATCCTCAAAACCAAACTAGTGTTCACAGCCACCATTGGAGAGCACCCTTTGCCATGAATTCTAACAACTATGTCCATATATTTCTGCAGCTCTCCTGCCTTACACAAAGCATTGATCATTATTCTTACTGTTGCATCATTTGGGTTTGTTCTTTTCTGAATCATATGGCCATAAACCTCCCATATCAGATTGCTGCCATCTGGTGATTTTTGTATGACATGAAGCAAAGTGTTGAAGGTGACGAGACTCAAAGAGAATCCACACTCATCCAAGTAACAACAAACATCAAAGGCAGCATTATACATCCTTAACTTGCTATAAGATTGCACCAACAAGTCAAACACAAATGGACACGAATTGGTTATCTTGTAAGTATCCAGAAGCATATCAACAATATGAAATCTCAAAGAACTATTAACCTCAATCTCATCATTTCTCAGCAAAATGGATTCTAACAAACTGCGGGCATCATTTACTAAACGTGCACAGGCTAAAATATGAATGGTGATGCAGTAATGCTTAAGTCCATGGCCAAGCTTATTGTTATGTGCAACCCAATGAAAGAAGTTCAGAGCTCGTTTTGCCTCAATGGGTTCCTTGAACTCAAGAAGTACTTTCTCAATAATAGGATCATCCAAACTTGCTGAATCATATTTTCTGCTCAAGGAGTCCCAATTCAAGCCTTTACGGAGGGAATCACAGAGAGAACTTGCAACTTTATGATTTGGGTCATCCACCACTAACTGATGGCTTAAAAGGCGTTTGGTGGGTTTGCCAATAGAAAGAAAGATATTCGTGGTAGTAAGAACCTTGTGGCGGAAAACAGAAACCATCGTGACCTTAATGATATTTCAGCAAACCATTAAGGCACAGCCTCTGAAAACAACATGACAATAACTATTACTTGTGGAAGGATCTAAATTTCCATAAAATTACTTACAAATCACATTTAAATCAACCAAAATGATGCACAGAATTAAAAACTAACAAAGGAAGAAATTTTTAATTTGAAAACTAAGCAAAAAGCTATGCTGAGAAGGCAGTAACCTGCATAATCTTCAGAACCAGGAGGGAGAATCATTAGCCAAGGGAGACAGGGACTGAATGTGCTTCAATTAGCAACTTCCATCTCTCTCATCACATAAGGATCTAGATTTGAAGTTCAAGCTGATGAAGTCCAGAGCATACATATGATAAACATGCATCTTACAGAAACTGTGGAGCTTGAGTAATTGAAACCTGAAAACAATATTTCAATAAGGAAAATTAAAATAAAATTTTGATGCAGCCCTCAAAGTTGGCAATGCCTAATAACATCCTAGCTTAAAATTTTGACAGTGGCTTCAGAGGAACACTACGGCACCTTTTATCGCCTCTTTTCAGCTCCTATAAATTACTCTCAAGAGTAGGATCTATCATCTAAGCATGTTTGCAAACAAAATACTGATCTTTCTCCAAAGTAAATCAGCAACACTAAGTAGTACAATTATATGTTATATCCTTTGTTCCTAGATAGTATACAATGTTTCTATTTTAGTCTATCCCAAACTACAGTCCCCTACAAAATTTAGTAAGTTACAATTTGAACTTTCACACACTAGTACACTCCCATTGATAATACTGTGACTAAGAACTGTAATAAAGACTACACTCAAATCGCAATGATGATAAATGGCAAAAGATAGTACTTGTAATGGCGTTTTAGCTATGACTCTAAAAGATGACTTCAAATCAAATGCGGCCTATTATTTAGATATTATTTAGAAGCGAAATGTATATAGTTGTTTTCAAATAGTCACTCTCATCCTGATCATTTCTCGCATACAACATCAACAAATGATTTCCTTACATTATCCGTCATTTCTATGGATTGTAATTATCAACCAGGTAGAGTTGGCTCAAAATCTTCAAATCATCTGACTATGAAAAAATTTAAACTTTAAAAAACAATACTCCAGTAAAGCATAAAACTTCATTTTGGGATTCAACTAATCATTTATTAAATCTTCAATTCAGAAACACAAATATCTCTGTAAAAGTTCGTATAAACTTTAATACCAGTCTATTGTCATTAGTTCAATACCTAATTTTCATGAAATTCGTCCCCAAATCAGCAAGAAATTACCAAGCCACTAAATTTCCACCCCAATTCAAAGTTTTGAATTTAAGCAATTTCCTTTCTACCATATCAAATTGAAGGGAAACTGGAGAATAAATTAATCAAATTTCTAAAAATTCACCCAATTGAAGAATACCCAGAAATATTTCATGAATATTATATCAAAGTTCATAAATTTAACACAGCAAAGAACAAACTATGAACATAATAGATTTTTTTTGGTAGTACTAGAAGAGAAATATACCTTAAAAAATAATATGGGTGATGAATGAGTAATTTGATGTCTCCCCACCACCTTTATCTGAGTGATTTAAAAGGTGAAACTGTTATTCTGTTCTGCCCAGAAAACTGGAAAATTAATTTCTTGTGTGTTTGGACTTTGGACTTTGGTTCAGCAAGATGAGCCGGGACTTTTAGGTCACGAGGCGGGTGAGGTTCTTGTTGGCTGGATGGACTAGCATTGCACGGCTGAAGTGGTTAAGCCTCAGTAAGGGTTTTACGGTTCGGAGGATTCACGGTTCGTAAAAATGTTCATTATGATTATACACCTGTCATTTCTATTTTTTTTTTTTATTTTTTTTTTTTTACTTTTCGGGACACTGAGAGTTAGGCCCTGCTCACTCCACCCTAAAAAATAATATTCAGTAAAAATAATTTTAGTTCAGTAAAAATAAGTTCAGTTCAGTAAAATTCAATAACTTTAAAGAAAAAATATAATAGAAAATCAGTAAAAATAATTTCAGTTCAACAAAAATAATTTCAGTTCATTAAAAATAATTTCAGTTCAGTAAAAATAATTTCATTTCAGCAAAAATAATTTCAATTTAATAAAAATAATTTCAGTTCAACAAAAATAAGGTGAAGTGAACGAGGCCTTAGGCTATGTTATGTTAAAATTTGTCAACAACTACCTTTTAAATTACCATTTTTGCGAATAACTATCTTTAACTTTAAAGCTTACAACTATCTAATATTGAGTTTTTGTTTTAGTACCACTACCATTTGAAGGATTCCGTTAAAAGTTTCATTAATGGGACTCATATTCAACGATTTTAAACAAAATTAACTCTAATTACATTGATTAGACCCCATTAAAACCTATTTTAAGCACCTTAATGCTATATCTAGTTACTTTAACCCCCATATTAATGCTAAATTTTGTTAATTTACCCCAAAACATGAAGTTTATAATTTACCTTGAATGTCAACCCTATTATATAGCAAAACCATTTTATCTCTCACCAAAAATTGATTTTTTTGCCAAAATTTAGAGAATTTGAAACCTTACAATGAAGATCATGAATCTTTCAATTTTGATTTGCTTAGTTTACACCCAAATTAGATTAGGTTTCAATTTGGGGTAGATTATCAAACTTTCAATGTAGGGTTTTGAATTTGGGGTTAATATAATATAATTCCAACATGCATTAGTAGTTTCTATTTGCTAATTTTACTCCCAATTTACATCGAATTCCCTCCAAAAAATTTCTCTTACTCTTCAATTATAAATTAGGGTTCTTAATTTGGAAGTAACAAAAAATTTGACGGAATCCGTCAACTGGTAATGGTAGCAAAATAAAAACTCAATATAAGCTAGTTATTCACAAATTCTAAAGTAAAAGGTAGTTGTTCGCAAAAGCGGTAACTTAAAAGGTAGTAGTTGACAAATAAACCCCTTGTGTTAATAATCAAGTTTGAGAAAAATTAGTTTAAATAAATTTTGTTTAAGATAAATTAGTTTTTTTATTTTATTTTTTTAATTTTTTTTATGCAAACGAGGGGAAGCTCAGAAAAAACAAGAAACTAAAACAAAACAAACTACGAGGGGATAAAACGTTGCGAAGCCACACCCACAACACCATTATGTAAAATACAACCTATAGCTAAATTAGTTGTGAATTTAGGATAACCCTTATTTATCCTAAAGTGAACATCTATGAACTAACTCTTCAAGTAAAAATAAAATTAAATTACGAAGCATTTAGTAAAAATGTTATAACCCGTAAAATTCATTATGTCAAAACACAAAGAATACAATGAATCAATAAAGTAAGATTAATATGTAAAAATCAATTTTAATCATTAGAATAAGTGAAATTAACAAAGTAATAATATATCTAATAATTTAGAGTGTTGCAAATTACAACAACAAACTATAGACCAAATGAGGTTTTGAACTTTTGATAATGCATTGGATTCTAATCTGAACGCTCCCTCCATCATTTGTAATTTGTAATGCTCTTGTCTGTTGTGTGTCTCATTCGGATTCAAGGTCTTGTTTAGCAAAATTAGCGTAACAGGTAGTTTTTAGTGGTTTAATAGTGAGTAGCTGTTAGAGTACCAAAACCCAACTATGGTTATAAACTTTCCCATTTGGACTACTTTACCCCCACAAATACAAAAATCCCACAAAACCCCCTTTAATAGTTCCGTTGCAAGTTTCACCTTATCACTTCATACTTCCTACAACCTTCAACCTTCAACCTTCAACAATGGCAACACTCTCATTCTCTCTCCTCCCCAAAACCCTTCCAATTATCCCTTCATCACAACCCCTTAAACCCTCCATTAATTCTCCCCATCATCCCTCAATCTCTCTCCTCTCTCTTCGCCCACAATCATGGAACCCAAATCAAACCACCCCACATTCCAGAAGCTTCGCAATTAGGGCTGCTGTTGATGGGGATTACTCTTCTAAGAGAAGCAACAGCAACAATGGTGAACAGAGAGAAACGATAATGTTACCTGGCTGTGACTATAACCATTGGTTGATTGTTATGGAGTTTCCTAAAGACCCTGCTCCGACTAGGGAACAAATGATTGATACTTATCTCAATACTCTTGCTACTGTTTTGGGAAGGTTTGTTTCTTTGTTTTATTGTTTAATTTGATTAAATTGTTTTGATTTCTTGGTTTTAATTGAATTTTGAGTTGGTAATTTAATTGATGTTTGGGGTGAACTCATTTATGTTGAATAAATGCAGAAATTATGTTACTTTTCAGGTTTTGGGTTTGATTTAAATGTTTATGGGATTTAATAGATATGGAGTTTCTAGACCATGATTGTACTGCTGGTTTTGAGAAAATATAATGGTAAATATCTTGTGTAAGCTTTATTCTTTATTCTTGTAGCTGAAATCCGGCCTTTATGTTGATTATAAGGAGAAATTATTTGTCTTTTTCCGATTCGGGTTTGGTTGAAAAATTTGAAATGTTTAGGGAATTCAATAGAATTGGAGTTGCTATACCATGATTGTTCTTCTCATTTAGAAAAAACTTAATTGTATATATCATGTATAAGCTTGTTGGGCCTACATGTTAATTTTAAGGAGAAATTATGTGCCTTTGGATGTTGGAATTCAATTGAATTGTAGTTGCTTTCTACTCATGTGGAGAAAAAATTATTCCCGCTGTTCCAATTCACTTACCCCATACCCATTTGTGTAAATTTATGCAAGTGAAAATGTAAAGGGAGAAAAGTTCTCATAAAGGAAATGAAGCATGTAAATTAGGACATCCAAAAAAGGAAAATAAGGCAAGTGAAATGAGACGGAAAAACATGTAATAATCATGGGCTAAAAGAATGATTTAGTTGGCGGTTTATTGTTGGACTGGGAATGATGTGTAATATGGAATATTGGAAGGAGGTTAGGATTGGTTAACTAACCAAAGGCTTTGTAGAGTAGACAATTGAGAGTTAAAAATCAAGTGTTTTTAAATTCAGTTAGTGAAGAAGTTGATGCTGGTGAGTATAATGTAGTTCGCTTGCTCTTTTTGTTTCGAATGGTAGATGGAAATATTATATGAGAGCCTGGGAGGTGTTGCCCCTTTATGTTGCCAAACTGTGGACAAGTGGTGATGTCTTTTTGAAGTGAATTGATGTTGTGAGAATAAAGGTTTCTTACTGTTAGAAGAATTATGAAACAGCCACCTGCACCATTTTAGCCGAAATGCTGAATACATATAAGAAGGAGAGGCCTGCTAGTGGGGGGCTTCAAATGCAACAATTAACCGAAATACAAGAATAAGTCTAACTAGGCCCCTGCCTATGGCGAATTTGGTAGTGGGGGTTTCAAATGCAACAATTAAGAAGGAGAGGCCTTGCTGTTGACACATTTCACTGAATCATTTCAATTTAAGTTGAATGTTTCCCAACTTTTTCTGTGGATGTGATTAAGATGGAACAAAATTTACAAATTCTAAGAAAAAGGATAGTTTTCCATGGTTGGTTATTATAGTACATTCTCGTCCTGGTTATATTTGTTCATGCAGTAGATGGGCAATTGAACATGGCAAGAATTAAATGACTCGATTAATTAATCAAAGAGGGGAAGGGGAAGAGAGAGAGAGAGAGAGAGAGAGAGAGAGAGAGAGGAGGGGGGGAATGTGCTAAATGCGCATTCGTGGGTTGCTGTACATTGGTCTAAGGCAAATGCTGCATGTATATTCAGTTTAGATATTCAATTACTCTGTTTAGTTATTTTAAAGGACAATAAAGCTTGAGTGTTTCAGGGAAGCGATTTTTGAAGCTTTTGCTTTACATATTTATTTGATTATACTAGTCTGATAAGACAGTTGATTGACTGTTTCCTTTTTGACGCTCCAGCATGGAAGAGGCAAAGAAGAACATGTATGCTTTTAGTACCACAACCTACACTGGTTTCCAATGTACAGTAGATGAAGAAACATCTGAAAAATTCAAGGGTAAATGGTGCAATATTAAAATTTTATGTTCCCCTGTAGTGCATGTGAAACTTTGAAGCTGTTGTTAATTAGCTAAGTATTCAACCCTTCATTCTGCAGGATTGCCAGGAGTTCTGTGGGTGTTGCCTGATTCTTACATAGATGTTAAAAACAAGGATTATGGAGGTACACTCCCTATTCTGATTTATGAGGAATATTTTGTTTGTGACTATACCGTGACAAGTTTTCTCACTTCCTTGAAATGTTTGTCTCAGGGGACAAGTATATCAATGGTGAGATTATTCCTTGCAAGTATCCCACATATCAACCTAAGCAACGCAATACTTCTAAATATGAGAGTAGAAGGTATGAGAGACGGCGAGATGGTCCCCCTGGAACTGCTCCCAGAAAACCAAGACAAGAAAGTGCACCCTCTGAATCAGCCTCCTCATAAGGTTAGGAAGTGGAATTGTCTATGATCCTATCTGTCTATGAATTTTGAAGAAGTTTCTTATGCATGTGGAAAAGAATCACTTGATAATGTGTTTGATTGACAATTATATTCTTAATCCTACCTCCTGTTTATGAACTACTTCTAGTTATGACAACTGTTGTTTAATGATTCAAATATAATCTTTGATCTAGGTTGGCTATAATGTGAAATGACATAGCTTATGGAGAGATTGGTTGCATCTTGCTGAATGTCGATGAGCAGTCATGCGTGCACGGTCAAGTATAGCTTTACACTGCTTATATGGTGAGGGTGTATTGCAACATGAACAGCCTTTTATTGTAAGGCCACAAAGCTTGCAAAGTAGTCCACTTTTAGAATCAGAGCCGTTGATGTAAGAATATGACATGTAGGAGTCTCTTTGACGGTGCTTACAAGAATTTTGTGATAGCTCTTTGCTCTTGTTTGCTGTCAAATAGACAGTACATTTTGTTTCAGACTAAAGCATGTTTTCATCATTAGTCATTTGTGGTTGTACATCAGGCATATGACCTCTTAAGTTATCGTCTCCACACAGTAGACTCGTGGCATTGGATATTTGACGAACACGAGGGAGGATGTATGCAATTTATGTCCTGGCCCTGTATACTTAGCTCTGGTCTTATTGTTTTAGTCTCATGCTAGGCAGGTAGTATAGCTGATCATAGACTGGGCTGGGTAAAAAGTTATGCCTGCTTTGGTAGTATTGAGTTGGGCTAAATTATAGCCCATACTCAAAAGATTATCTACACATTAAGCCATTTTGAGAATTGAAAAATCAAAAGTACTTTTTCCAATTTTCAAAATACCTAATATTGCACAAACCTCAAAGATTATGGATTTATAAGTGTGAAAAACATGTTTTGTCTAATAATAAAAATAAAAGGTGGAGAAAATATTTGAAAACTTGTTTTTGGTCAAATAAAAACTGTAAATTCACAATGATAACAAATCTAATTGGTATCCTTAACTATAAAGAAATAACTTGAAATAGCACAGATCTAAATAACTTGTTTTCAAATAAAAATTTCATTTGTATTTTGCACCAGATTTGATAAGAAGGCGAATATAGTATTAAGATTGTTAAGTTTGGTTGATAACAAATGAAAATAAAAATCAAATTACTGGGTTTTGACTGGTTATTTGTGAATAAAGGTGAAAAATAACGGGGTTTAATCGATTACAAGTGAATTAAGTACATAGAAATGAAAAAAGATTTTTTTATTTCGGAATAAGAGCTCTTAGGTAGTGAATTTAGATTATTATTTAATTATTTTAGGATGGAAGGGGTATGTAATTCAAAATCTTGACTCCCTAAGTCTCAAATAAAGATGAGATCCGGATGGTTCTAGAATGAAATGCAAACCATATTTTGTTATATGAAAGCAAAAGATACCAAAACACTCCATATTCTTTGTAACGGGTGTAGGACCAAAGCTTATTATTTTGATATTGACTTCTCAACCATGATCATTATAGAATATAGATGCATTACATTATCTTTTTCAATGCCCATAAAATTTGCTTTCCCTAATAAATGATGCCAAAATAAATACAAGTATAAAATAATAAACTTAATCAGAAAATCCTTTAATTCCTATCAAATAATTCCACTTTTATTATTTATAAACTAGAGACTCCTTGAAAATTTAAGGGGGCTTTTTAAATTAATTACAATAGCATATTAAATCCGTATCAAAAGGATATTTTTGAAACTCTTCGAGGACTTTATGGGGAAGAATTCACGGATCTCAAGGATTAAATCAGGGCATTTTCGAGTTTTTATGGTTGTGAGATGTAAATTTTACCTATAAGTGTAAAAATTCGGAGTTTTCAAAAGGAAATGCCAAAAATACTCCATATAGTCCATAAAAGACAAGTAGATAAGAATTGAGGGGATGTAACCTTAGTGAACCTCACTACTAAAAGTTACATGTCTAAGTTTGGTGGAAAACTTCTTTTCTAGAGTTTTCATCAAAAGACTAAGATTTCATCTAAACTATCAATGGCATACTTCAACTACCCTTCAAATTACCCTGAATATATTGGTAATTATCAGTATTATGATCAGTATTACTACAATAATTACAATCTTGATTACAATAATCAAGAGCAAAGGTATGTTCATCAATATTCTGATTCTGAATTTTATGGAAATGCATATCAGCAAGCTTTAACTCCATCTTTAGTAGGTTATTATTACTCTAATTATCAGCCTGAATCTGTTTAAACTAAAGATGCAAGTTTGAGTGAAAGTGGTGATTATTATGATCATGTTATAACTCAATATGTTGTTTCTTATAATAATAACACTACTGCTGAAGCTGAAGAAGGTACTGATGCTGTAGTTTTCGACGAAAAAGATTCGAACCCGAAACCATTTCATGGAGGTTATGATATTAATGAGAAGTATGGGAAGCCTTTACCTCCTTCAGAAGAAATTTGTTATCCATCTACTAAACCAGATTCGAATAAAGCTCAAACTTTGGGTGATTTTTCTTATGGTTCTGTTCCTTCTCCTTATGTTAATGGGGTTAAAAATGATGTTGGGAGTGATGGTGAGGCAAAGCAAAGTAATGGGGTTGTTGATAGTAAGGTGATCCAAGAGGAAAATCCCTCGGATTTCGAGGATGAAGATGAAGAATTCGACGATGAAGATGAAGATGAATTTTATGAAGAAGATGAAGAGGAAGAAGAAGGATTAGGAGAAAAGCAAGATGTTCTGGTTGCTAAGGAAGGTGTTAATGAAGCAGAACCAAAACAAAGTGATGTGATCATTCCTAGCAAGGTGATCCAAGAAGAAAAAACCCTGGTTTTCGAAGAAGAGAAAGGAAAAGGAGGAGAAAAGCAAGATGAAGTGAGTAAAGAACCATCTAAAATTGGTCCAATTGTACCTTTAATTGATGCAAGTCATGCAAAAGAAGCTCAAGATGTTAAGGGTGATGCAAAGCCAAAAGATGGAAGCATTGTTAATGAGGCTATCCAAGAAGAAAAGGCTTTGGACTTTGAGGATGGATTCGAAGAGGAAGATAAGGAGGTAGAAGATGAAATCGAGGGCGGTGTCATAGGTGATCAGGGAAGTAAAGAGGAGGAATATGGTAATCAAGTAAGGCGGCAGATACCGCCGGGTTATGGTATGGAAGCCATAGACCTTTGTGAAGGAGTATTTGGTGGTTATTTCCCCTGTTTGTGGAAGAGAAATCAGAGGATTTATAATCATCAAAGAGATGGTAATGATAACACGAGTGATTATGATTATTGTTGGAAAGAAACTGCTGAGTATCTGTTTGGGAATCCGAATCCTTATGGCGGAACCATGCCTGAGAAAGGAAGTTATGGAGATCCTGTTTATAGCTATCACAGGCATTTCCCTCAGCAGCCTCTTACTGAACAAGTTCAGTATCATGGTGGAAATTCTTCTTGGATGTATAATTCAAGGCATTATTATGGTTAGTACTCGTATAAATTGAACATACGTTCTAATGCGAGAGTTGATAAGATAATCACTGAGATTTGTGAATAATGTTACGTATAAGTGTTATATTGTACTTTTTCCATTGGATCAGAATGAAGTATGGGGGATATTTGGGGTGTGCGTTTGCATTATACACATATCTCAGTGATTAACTACTCTGTTGTGTTCATCCTCATCGTTATGCTAGTTATTTTCTTATGCTAATCATGATAATAGGCATATGTGATCATGTGAAATACGGGGTTTAACAAACAACCCTTTTGATGAAGACTATACTTAATCGTTGAGTGTATAAAATAAGGAGTTTGATGCTTAGTATAGTCGTAATAAACATATCTTCTGTTGCCTAGTTTATGTCTTTGTGAACTTTCAGTTGTAAATTATGCATAATTGTGATAGTAAGTCTAAAATAAAGGCTTAAATTTGCTATACTTGTGCACAATGCCACAGTGTGATCTACTGAATGCAATATTTATGCTGAATCTGAGCAAGAAAGATGCATTAAAATTTGTTTTATCAGTAATTTAGCAGTGAATAAAACAATGAGTTAACAATTTAGCAGTAATATCTTTGAATGATTTTCTTCTTCTTAACATATGATTGAGCCCTTTAGTTGTTCCTCACTACTAAAAGTGTTCTTATAGAGGACGCGGAAGTAATCAATGATTCTATAGCGATATAGCCAAGATCAATAATACACCGAAGAAGTTTATCAAATCTGAAATTACTTGAAATGATCCTCAACCCTACATATGTGTATGAATGTATAATTTATGATTGAAACATTTTCCAGTGCCTAACAAATAATTGATGTGGGAGTATAATCTGTAAATAATAGAACCAACAAGCAAGGGTAAATACAAATTCAGGAATTAATGCTGTAAATTTCAACCAGCACTTTGAAAAGTCTTATCTATATAGCCCATAACTTAGTCTAATAAGGCAGGAGAAATTGGTTCATAATGCGTTGTAATTTTTTTCCTTTGTTAATAAATACTGGCAAAAAAAAATATGTTGAAAATTTAATGTAAATCAAGAGTAATGATTTTTTCTAAGGCAGTATTCATCAAGTCATAGCATATTTAGTTGATAGGACATTATAAGTACCATAATGCAAGACCTCAGATAATTCAATTATTTGGGAAAAAAAAAAATGAAGGTCGTCTATACACCTTCTTTACATGATCTTCCTCTGTTTCAGAATATACGATACAATCAACTTTGCATACATGCCAATGCACTAGTTTGACTTTATTTTTATATAATTAAATATTAATGAAAATTATTTTTAAAATTATATTATGAAACTTTATATTAATTCCTATCTAATAACATATTTTATAATCAAATATATTTTTATTATGTTAGTAAAAAATTATGGTCAAAGCTAACATATAAATAGTGAAAAAAGTCCAATATCCCACATATTTTGAAACGGAAGGAGTAATTATTTTACATGGGTACCAGAAATTTAACACTAATTTAATGTGTTTGGTAATACGTAATTTAAGTGTGAGGCCAATGCATTGCCCATTGAGGCTAAGCATGTGAGCTTTAACGGTCTGTTTGATAGCCGACCGATTATTAATAGTAGAACTAAGATATATTAAAGCATAATTTAAAAAAGTAATATGCAAATGTCCATTTGTACACATGCAATACTCATCTTCAAACTTACTACTACGGAGTATGTTTTTCTTCGTAAATGTCTACTAACATCCAATACTACCCTCCAAGTTATAAATGAAAATTTAAGAAGTAGAAAAGATGATATGAGATGCAGTTAAAATTGTTTTTTCTTATAAATTTATATACAAATTCATTCTTATTACCTCAATAAATCATCGTTTATCAGTTACTAAATGGCCGTAAAGGGTGATTAATCTCGCCTAATTGGCTAAGCCAAGATTAACCGACAGAAATCGGTAGAGCTTGAGGCAAATGAGCACATTTAAGTGATGTAAGCTAATAAGTTACACAAGATGTGGTCTACAAAAAACGAATCAATTACAAGTATTAAAAGATATTGGTGTATGACATAAATAAGGCCAGTACCATCATAATCAGTTTCCAAATCATTGGATCAACTATCTAGTTTGCTTGGGCTTGAATATGTAGAGTTGGGCACAGCCCAACACGTCTTTCATGGTTTTTTATTTTTTATTTTTTATTTTTAGGAAAGTCTTTCATGCTTGTTTGAGTTATATAGTATAATTCAACATATAAAATTACTACTCTATCCACCAACAAAGTATTTGCTCCACATGAAAATTTGTATTGTTTAGATGATTTTTATTGTGGCATAGGCATAACCTTGTACTCTTGTAGCATTAATGCATCATAAGCATTTTTCGCATTTGGAGCCTTAGAGGTACTCCCTACTACCTATCTACCAAATGAGTGTTCGCTAATTAGGTAAGACTCTTATATATTATTTAAATCCTAAAGATTTAAGGTTCAAATCCTACCAAGTGATGAGGGTGCTTAGGGATAGGATCATAGGAATTCCTTGCCCTCCTCTCTATTTCCAAGTGCTTAGCCCACAAATACTGAATCAAAAAAATAGTAAAGGTTGAACTCTGATTAGAGTCCTTTTAAAAAATTAAAATTAAAATAAAAACTACACTTCATCCATTTTTTAAATACTAGTAATTAACATTTTTTAGAGTCCAAAGTCACCAACTTGGACAGATATTTGCTAAAGTTTTCGCAACATATATTTTCATTCTATCTAATAATATGAGTTTTCATGTGTTTATGATGAAAGGATGTGTCCATGACAAACAATCAGCCAAAATACTTAAGTGAAAAATGGAAATTCTAAACTTTTATGAGGCTAGATTCAATGTCATTTCATTTGTCCAATAAGGTTCAAAACATTTTGTTTAAGTTAAGAAAAAAATTATGATAAGGTACTAGATCGGGTTACATTCAAGTCTATCAAACTCTTTTGTCCAAATTTCACATGTGTATTTTCAAGATTTTGATCGATTTTAAGTAGATTCATATGATTTATCTTGCTAAGCCAAGCTCACGTAGGGTCAATTTTAATTTTGCATGACAATTTAATTTGTTCAAGCAAACGATAGTCTTTTCGTAGTTACACAAAAACATAACCTTTAATGCTTGGTTACAATTGATGACTAGGTCATAATTTGACGGCTACTATTAGTATCGCTTGCCTAAATACAAGTAAATTACCAATAAATATAGGAAGAATTTGCTAATTGTAGGAATGCAACTTGCAAGCTAATTACAAATTCAGACAAATTAAAGGTTTATGTACTAATTAATAATAGCAAGCGCACGCATAATATATATCATATGGATTAAGGGTCCATATATATAATTAGTTGAACTTAATCTAGGTTAATTAAGGTTCATTATATAATTCAATTATACAAATTACAACAAGCAAGTATATTCCAATAACGTCATATTCAACACAAGCCATGTGCAAAAAATAGATTTGAAAGAAGATTGTTTGGACCATTTAAAAACATAATTCTTCTATTTTCTTGTCTTTTTATTCAATTTCTCTGTCTAATTTTGTCATTAAGCTAAGTGTGGAACAAAGATGAAGCTGGCAAATGATAAAAATTTGTAATTAGTGGACCACCCCTAAACTATTTTTACATGTACAAGAATGGATTTGGCCTTGGTTTGGTCTAATGTGTGGCTAAATCAAATTATTATGTGTATGACCAAATTAAATATCAATAATGCATATTGATCATATTCCAAATGTGTAGTGGAAATATATTCACAATTAGGTACCGTTCACCTCACCTTATTTTTGCTGAACTGAAATTATTTTTACTGATTTTCTATTGTATTTCTTCTTTAAAATTGATTTTTACTGAACTGAAATTATTTTTGCTGAACTGAAATTATTTTTACTGAACTGAAATTAATTTTACTGAATATTATTTTTTTAAGGTGAAGTGAATAGGGCCTTAGTAATTAATAAACAAAAAATATTGTCATTGAAGCTTTTATTAAGTAAAGAAATTTTGTTCCAAAAAAAATTAAGTAACGAAATTAAGGATCAACTTTCCTTATCCTTAATTTGTAATGAAATATAAATTGTCGATGCCACCAAATTAAAGCTTGAATATCTACAATGGTTTTACATTTGTCTAGTATCAAGTATTATGTGATAATGATGTAAGTGATCGATTGATCAAATAAGGATTGATTGAGTGGAAATGCTTGCATTTATCAATGTAACCATGATGATGTCAGATCAAATAATTCTCTAAGTAGCTCTATATGGGGTGGGGAATATATATAATTAGGAATTCCTTTATCTTTCTCTCAATTAGCTTCACTCTCATCAAGGGGGTCTTGCTTGCTAACCTCGATTAGGTTAGCTCATGTAGGATTTTCGAATCAAGAGGAAGTTAGTTTTCCTTAACTACCAAAATACATAAATAAATAATTGAATAATGTATGTGATTGTGAATTATGTTGAAAATTATTGTAAATACTTACTAAACTAATTTATTTAGGTTAATGTCAGTTCGAGTTTTGGAGTATTTTATACAAATATATATCATATTATATTCCATCAAATTCATCGTTGATCATTCAAGTAGGGCAAATTTGCACCTTTCCTTAGTTATCAATTTGTGCACATGTTTTTGTCCAATGGCTTAATCAAATTAAATCCATTTCCCAATCTAGTCACGCTCTTGAATATCCTTGATTCATTAAGCTTGCATAGCGTTTAATATATATTAACGGGATTTAAAATTTTTAAGATATTATTTCATTTCATTATAAATCTATCACGCATGGAAATTAAACTAAAGAAAATATGCCTTCATCATCAAAATTGATAAGCATCCACTATATGGATGTTACAATATATCCTTAAAAAATGTTACATTTAAGAAGATGTCACGTTATCAATTAGTACAACTCGAGATTCATTGTACTAACTTAAGTACAACTTACGGAATGTGTGGCAAATGTTATAATCCAATGATGTTTATTTACCAATTTGTAAAATTCAATATTGTTCATTATACTAACTTACAGCTTACTGTCTTACTGAGAGTGTGACAAATGTTACAATATGTAGAAAGATGTTACATTTATTAATTGGTAGAACTCAATATTTATTGTACTAACTTATAGCTTGAGAAAAACGTGACAATATTACAATCCCTAAAGAGATGATTCGTTACCAATCGATACAACTCAATATTCACTGTACTAACTTACAGCTTACTAAAAGTGTGACAAATATTACAATTTTTAGAAGATGTTAAGTTATCAATGGATACAGTTCGATATTTACTGTACTATCTAACATTCTAACTTACAAAAAGTGTGACAAGCAATTGCAAAAGCCAATTTAAATGACTAAAGAAAATCGATTACTGAATGAGAGCCTTTTAAACCAAGCAATTACTACCAATATTTAATGAAAGCTTGCTTGCCTAGCCATCTTATGTATGATCCTTGTGAAGCTACCGTTACATAATCATATAATAGCATGAGTTTCCTCACTGTGGTGTGATGACGTAGTAGAATGACTGGGATCCTTAACATTATTTCAAAAAATGCATTTATTAACTTATATAATCACTGTGATTTCTTTCACATTATAGGGGAAATATAATTGGCTTATAGAAAATCGAAAAAGTTAGCCTAGAATCATCCAATGCTATTTGTTTCTATATCCAATATGATTCCTTTCCATCACTGGCTCTTTTGTAAAACAGAGAAAACGTTTAGCTTCTGACCTTCTTTAACATAGCCAATTAGAGAGTACACGTTTTTCTCTCTTCTTGTGCACAAGTAACATTCACATGTTTCGGATGTAAACTAGTTACAGACTTGGCACTTGGCGATCCTCGTGTTGTAGCAAACACGAAATATATATGTACCTCCCTTTGTTACTTTAAGGATGGCTTTTACTGTCTTTAAAATATGTCTTACAAGACTAAATCCCGTGTCATACACGGTAATTTCACTATATTACTAAATAAAAAGAAAATATTATTTTAATAAAAATAATATGGACAAAATATAACTATAACATACATATTCTTCTTATTTTGCAAATATATAACAAAAAGATAGAAAAATGAAATATAACGAAAGAGTGGTTTAGATAAATGAATATATTAAAACTACATCTTAGACCATATGTAGGGGTGTCCATTCGGTTTTCAATTTTCAAATCCAATCAATTTGAATTTCTCACCAAATCCAATCTAAATTAAAATTCAGTTATTTGGATCCAATCCGGAAATCCAAATTAAAATACGTTGCAAATTTTTTGAAAAATGCAATAATAAAAATTCAATTCTTAAAAGTGTAGTTGTACACGATTAATACAAGTATTGAAAACATAGGTTTACATGATTAATAATAATATAATTATAAACATAGTTTAACATGATTAATATTAACAATACTTATTTATAAAATAACGGTTTCATATTTCGGTTATTTCGGTTTTTTGGATCCGAACAAGGGCAATTCGATCCAGACCGAAAATCCAAATTTTCAAAAAAATTCATCCGATCCAATCCGATTTAAAGTTCGGGTCCAATCCGAATTAAAAATTCGGTTTGGATGGGATTGGATTTCAGTTTTAATCCGAATAATGGATACCCCTAGGCCCTAACCATATGAGTATTTAAAAAATTCAATGATAAATTGGTATTTAAAAAATTCAATGATAAATTGGTATTTAAAAAATTCAATGATAAATTGGTGTGAAAAAAACACCACCAAGAAGTGACATGTGTCATTCCCGATGTCTGTTTTAGTATTGTATATATATTGATTGATTGATTATATTAATATCATCAATTTGATACAAAAAATAACTTCCTCCAATTTTCTTTTATTGCACCATAAGGACTTTTACTTTATTCACATACTTCCTCCGTGTTTTAATAAGTGTTACACTTACCAAATGCGGTCGTATTTTAATAAGTATTACACTTCCTTTTTTGACAAAAAACTACATTTTAATATTATATCTTTCTCTTTTCATGGTCCTCACCTAAACCCACTACTACTTTTTTATTATTTCTTTCCTCTCACATTCATTATTTTTCAATAAATTATTAACATAACTATCGTTCTTTTACAATCATTTAATACTCAAAATTCCCCACTTACCTCTTATTTTATTTAAGTCAATTAAATTGCCTAAAACAATGTGTCGGTCAAACTGTAACACTTATTAAAACACGGAGGGAGTAATTTTCTTCGACTGACCATCTTATATGATTTATCTGTAAAGAAAAACATAGCTATGTGTGATCTAGTTAGATTCGTCTTAAAATCTTCTTTTCAAATATCAACATTTTATAATTTTTACAAAAGTATGTATAATTAAAAGTAAGAAAAATTCCTTTTAATAATCCGAACTTTGCTTGATTAACTCTCAATAATCCTACTTTCATTTATTTTGCAATAATCCGAAATTTGATACAGGTTTTCCTCCACCAGTCCCAACCGGTCAAAATTGTAATAACATGTCACCTAGACACATGTCAACACATGATTAGTCTAAAATAATAAATAAAATTAAAAAAAACCACCATCCCTCACCCCTTCCCTTCCCCCAACGTACACCCAGCCCTAGCCCCACCGACAACCGGCTGGTGCGCCCCCTAACCCTTGAAAACAGCCGGTCGCCCCTTCCTATTCTCCAATAATGGTCGGTCAACCCACCTTATCCTTGAAACCACCTCCTCCCTTCCCCTTACCCCCGAAACCACCCTTTCCCTTCCCCCACCGTTGAAACATCATAAAACCCAACCCTGAAAACCACCTCTTTCCCCCACCCCAAAAACCACCCCTCGCCTCTTTTGGAGGGTTTTCAAGATTGTGGAAGGGAAGGGGGTGGGTTTCCGAGCTTGGGAAGGAAAGAGGTGGGGTTGGAGAGGTGGCAATTTGGGGGTGGTTGGCTAAGGAGGGCGGTGGTTTCGGGTTTAGGGTGGGAAGGAGTGGCCGTTTTTGGGGGTTAGGGGTGCTGGAGGTGGGAGGGATGTCAACTGCCAGTAGGGATGTCAGTGGGGCGGGTCAAGTAGGAGACTCGCCTCATCCCCGCCCCAGTGGGGCAGCGATGGGTCCCGGTTTGGTGGGTGGTAGGGCGGGGATAGGGATGAAAATCATACCCGCCATGTGGAGGGTGATGGGGCGAGGGTGGATTTTAGGTTGTACCCGCCCCGCCGCACTTCGTACCCGTCGCATCCCCACCCCATACCCACATCTATATATTTTAAAAAATAAAGTTGTATACTTTCTATTATTTTATATTTATATTAAAAAAGATTACGTAAAATAAAGTAGTAAATAACTAAATATAATATGTTGTAATAACTTAATATTAACAATGAATTTTTATTTTTATTTTTATTTTTATTGTAATCTATATTAGTATATTACGTAGTATTGTTGTATTTGGGAGGCGGGATTAGGCGGGTCTTGAGCGGGGAATAGATGGGGATGGATATCCAAGTGGGGGTGGGCGGGGATGGTTTTGGAATTGTACCCGTTGGGGCAGGGATGAGGACGAATTTTGGATCCACCACGGGGATGGGGATGGGGATAAGAATGTTAGGCGGGGATAGATGGGAAATCCAACATCCGCCCCACCCCGCCCCGTTGACATCTCTACCTGCAAGAGGGGGTAGGGGCTAGGCTGGGTGTTTCGGGGTGGTAGGCTAAGGAGGGCGATAATTACGGGGATACGGCTTGGGGAGGGGGGTGTCGATGGCGGTGGAGCATGGAGAGTAGTTGCCGGAGGTTTTTTTTTTTCAATTTATTTTATTTTTGGACTAATCATATGCTGCCCCGTGTCCTAGGTAACCTGTTAAATTGTATTGATGTAATAATCTGAACTTTGACATGGGTTTTCCTCCACTAGTCCAAATGACCAGTGACTTGATGACCCTTGTTAGCGGACCAAATTCTTCACCTTATTTGGTTGCCAGACTTATTTCGTATTATTTTAAATTTAACATGATATTAGAGTACGGGTTGCAACTCTCATCTAAAGTGGGTCTTTGATGCCAACTGGATAACAATACCAAGTTTCGTGTGAAAATTTAAGTTTATGGCTATATTCCTTTCACCTTATTTAAGGTGTTGAAAACTTTTTAAGTTTGCATAGGATCTTCCTATCTAATTATGTCTGTTTTTTTTTTTTTCTTAATTTGATCTAGTGTTTTTTTTTTTTAATGCTTTAAATTGTTACGAGTACATACATTTATAATCTAATCTAGTTTGGTTAATCATTCTAGTCTAGTCATATATTTTTGGTTCTAATCTAGTTTGTACCTAACAAAATTAAGATTAAATTAAAGTGAAGAGAACAAAGATTACTAAGTACTAAGAATAAGGTGAAGAGAAGAAACGAGACTCCATATAATTTTGAGTTACTGAATATACATAGGCAAATTATGCTTGATTAAATACTAATTTTTCACATATAACTTGAAAACAACTGACTACTTTTATATATAGCATGCATCAAAAATAGAATTAGACAATTAATTAAACTATAATCTTGATTTGAATCTTGTTCTACGTACAACATTTAAAATTAACTTGATAATATCTTATATACTTATAAATTCATATTTATCTAACATATGATAATTATTCATTTCATTTTATAATTTATATTATATTTTATCTCACACTTTAATTTATATCTCAAATTTCGAAAGATGTACCAATAAAATCATTATTTTAAATGGCTAAACATTAAGTAATTCAAACTAGCTAGTTTTAATTTAAACCGTTAGATTGTAAAAGTGAATTTCAAATCGAATGGTGCATGAGTCAAATTAATTAGGGTATTGGCTAGCGCCGTAAAAAATTTCCTTATTGAGAGAAGCTTACAACTATAAATTAGATAACCCTAAGAAGAAAAAATAATTCACCAGCCGCAAACTCTAGTTTTCTTTAAAATGCTCCTAACTAATCTAAAGTTGTGTCAATTTCTCTCTACCACTAACCTCAAGCTTCCTCTAGCCTTTTGTTAGCCAAATTTTTCAATCAACTAAGCATTTTTAAAGAATTAGGTTTGAAGGATGGAAAATTCAATCTCATGATTTAAACTATGAATTTTATCTATTTTACATTTGAGCCTTAATAATCGACCATTGCATTACTCTTCAATCAAAATTAATTTGATGTTTTTGCCCAATGATTTGAATCATTCTGGGTTGCCTGTGATGTCTTTCACAAAAGATCTTTGATTTATAACCTTGGTCTCGATTTTAAACCCGTTGGTTTTGTTAGTGATCTAATCCCTTATCCCGGCTGAATGAAGGCCAAGTGGTTTCTTATTCCCCATTGAACGAACTCTTTATTAGAGTCATCAATTCCCTAATCGCTTCGTACCGTGCTTGTGCATCATCGGATCTTCACTTTATTTGGTAAGGTTTTTTCTCGGTCATAATTACATCTTCATGTATTTCAGACTATTTTGTTGTTGATTTTGGTAATTATAGATTATATATGAGATATTCTTTGTTTCTTTTTTGTTTTAAGTAATATATATATATATATATATATATATATATATCAACACTATTTTTTTTTGCACTAAAATTCATCCCAACTTATAACATAGACCAATTGAATTGACAAATTGTCCACCATAGTAATTTATTCACCAATTCGTCTTAGATCTAGGTTTGGGGTTAGTCTAAATAGGGAGGGGGGAAATATGATCTTGTTAATAAACTCAATATGTGATCCATTCAATTTAAATAAAATTTAGAAAATTCGATGGAATATCTTTCTTTTTTTTTTTTTTTTTTTTTTTTTTTTTATGCAGAGGTATATCATATTGGATATTTGAAAAATTTTGAATCGGATTTGGATTGCCTTGTAAAAGTCTAGGATATTCAAAATATCCAATCTTTCAAAAATAAATTCAAGGTATAAATATAATAAAATAAAATCCCCTCAGCTGCTCCCTGTCGGCGACCCCACCTCTCCTCCTTTCCCCGACCCTTAAACGACCCCCTCTCCTATTCCCCACCTCGAAAAGTCGCCCCCAAACTCTAAACCCTATCCCAAAACCACCGTAAGCAAAACCCTAAGCCTATTTAGGGTAGTTTTGGGGCAAGGGTTTGGATTGGGGGGCGTTTTGGGGTGGGGGAAGGGGATGGTAGGTTGATTTGGTGTTGAGGATAGAGGAAGGGTTGATTTGGGGTTGAGGATATAGGATGGGTTGTTTTGAGTAGGGGAAAGGGGGAGAGGGTGGGTGTCGTGGTTGGGGAAAGGGAGGGAGTCGCCGGCATGGGTGACTTGGCAACTAGGGGGTAATGAGGAGCTGGCAAAGGAAGGGGGTAGCTAGGGGGTTGGGTGGGTGGGTGGGGGAGGAGGTGGTCCTTTTTAATAAAAAAAAAAATTAAAAAAATTTAATTGTTAAAAAATTAATAATGATTAAGGGTTTTAATTAGATAATTATTATCTTTGATAGTAATAATACAGGATTACCAATGATAATAACATTTTTTTTTCAATTCACCAAAGAGAAAAATAAGAAGTTGAGTATTACGAGTACCAAAGATAATTTTCCAAAATAATATAATTTTAGTAAAAATAATTTATGTTAACAAAATCAATTAGATTTATTAAAAATTAAGTTTAGTAAAATAAGTTAGTCCACTAAAAATCAAGTAAGAGACCAAGGCCTTAGTCATGGTATTTTAGAGAAAAGAAATCTCCAACCTTAGCTTACCCTACCACCAAACTAGATCAAAGCAACCCAGACCCATATCCAAGTAATCCCACAACGCTACCCAAAAAACCAACCACCATCCCTCCCAAAAATCTAATCCAAGAGGGATTTATTTCGTTTTATAAACCACAAACCTTTATTAATGTTCCAATATATTTCCTCTATTTCAAAATAAATTCTCTGATCAAACTAGACACGTGTATCGATGTAAATGATTAACTAATAATATCTTTAGTTATCAATAAGTATATGTTATAAAAAAATTGATATTTGTAAATTACATATTGAAACGATTCTAACAAGTACCCAGATGACTATGTATTATTCTAATTTATAAATCATTAACATTTGGCTTATGTGAATAGTGCAAAAAGTCAAAATTGAATGGAGTATAAAAACTAGGAATGCAACAATTATTTTGATTTCCGTACTTCTTTCGTTCCTAATTTGATAACACATTTTGACTTTTGACACTATCTATAAACTTTTGACTAACTCTTGTGATTTATAGAAGAGTAATAATGCATAATTATTTGTGATCTTGTTAGATTCGTTTTAATGTATACTTAATTAAAATTCAATTTTTTTAAAAATTAATAAAATTAAAGATATTTTTAATTGAATTTTTACATTGACAAATATAATAAAAGAAACATGTCATCTAATTTGGAATGAAAGAAGTATAATTTCATTAATTTGGCCTGACCTGTTCTAATTAACTAATCAAGTATGCACCACTAATACAACACATGAGGTCGTGTTTAAAGGATGGTGGGCTCACAAATTATTTGTGAGCCCTCCAACCTTTATATACGACTCATCTTTCTATTTGATTTGTCCCCTACTCATTACTCGTAACTCTATTCCCTCAGCCAAAGATCTAAAAATCAACTCAAATAAGCCATTGTTCCTTCTCACTTCATCACCATGAACATATTGACCATTCTACCCCTAATTGACCTCCTTCTCCTCCTAGTTCTCAACCAACAATGCACCGTCACCACATCGTACTTATTATCAATCCATGATCTTCTCAATTTATGTTGCTACAATGTGCAAAGACAAAGACACTAAAACTGAAAATTTGAGAAGATCATGGATTGATAATGAGTACGATGCGATCACGGATTGATAATGAGTCTTTTCCTAAACAATCAACTCCCTAATTAAAGGAAAATGATAAATGAAGCCCCTAGTCTTAGGGTGCATAGTCCATACAAGAAGCTTAAAAATGAAATATTGATAATTATTAAGCATTATCAACACTATTGAACATATGATACTTTTTTGTAAATTTTAAAAAGTTTACCAAATTAGAAAATGAATTTAGTGCTTATTTGCAACCTTAATGTTAAGAATATTGTGGTTGCAAATAACCATTAAATAAATTATTTTTTAATTGATATAATTTAAAAATTTGTGATCAAATAATGTGTTAATCGGTGTTAATTATCAATCTTGATAAATCTTCATATTCATTTTTAATCTTTCCTCATATACGTGTTGCTCATAGGGTTTCGTATTTCTTTTCCATAAAAATAAAAAGGTATTGGCTACTGCCAAGACAGGTGAGTTGTGAATGGGTTTGGTTTGATTATGAAATATCGACACAAGTCTAATACAACATGACTTTTTTTTAGCTTGCTCTAAGCACAACTTAATATCATTCAACACGTGGAGACATAATGGGCTCCCAAATAGGGTCGTGTATAAAGGTCGGTGGGCTCAGGGTTCCCAAATAGGATCGTGTATAAAGGTCGGTGGGCTCACAAATAATATTTGGGAGCCCACCACCCTTTATATACGACCCATCTCCCCATTCTCTCTCCCCACTCATTAGTCATTTCCCATCACTCTATTCACTCAACCAAAAACCTCAAAATCACCAAATTTAAGAAGCTATGGTTTCTACTCAATTCTACTCCTCCCCCACCATGAAAACAATGACCATTATACCCCTGATCGTCCTCCTCCTCCTAACTCTCTCGACCGACATCGTCGTTGCATCGTACTCATTATCAATCCACGATCTTCTCAAGAGCCGAGGCCTCCCCGGAGGGCTCTTTCCAATGAATGTAAAGTCCTACACACTTAGCCAAAATGACTTGTTAGAGGTATTCTTTGACGAGCCATGTGAGGCTAAGTTTGAGACGTTGGTTCGATTCGATACCGTCGTAAGGGCTAACCTTTCATTTGGTGTTCTAAATGGTGTTGAAGGACTTAGCCAAGAAGAGCTATTTTTATGGCTACCGGTTAAGGGCATAATTGTCCAAGATCCTTCTTCGGGTGTCATTTTGTTTGATATTGGCGTTGCGCAAAAACAGCTTGCTTTCTCTATCTTTGAAGATCCTCAAGTTTGCAATCCTGATAGTAAGAATTCTTCTCCCTTTTTTTTTTTTTTTTCTCTTTTGTTTATTTAACTTTTATTGTTTTTCTTTTTAAAAAATTCATTAATTATTACTTGATAGAAGATGGACCAAAAAAAAATGGTTCATCTAATTATAAGCTTATTTAATTAATTCTTATATATTATAAAATTTTGAGATTTAACTAATTTATCATATGAATATATATTTGATGTGTGTGTGTTTTTATTTTTTATTTTTTAATGTGGTTAAAAAATTATCAACGTTGAAAAAATGTGTGATATATACCTTTTATTTAATATGGGCGTAAGTGAATATATTTTACTAAAGAACATACATTTACTAATATTAAATGTACCCGAGTAATTATATACATTTCAATTATTAGTTTAATTATTTTGGTTGAAGTGATTAGTTAAAGAAGAGCATGGGAATTAATTCATTAAAAAAAAAAGGTGAATTATTATTCGACTTACAACAGTGAACATGTTGTATATGAGTATTTAATTTGTTTTGAAGGTTTTTATTATTTAAAGTCAAAGGTAAGACCGAGTAAATATAGTACCTGAAGTTTGCCTAGTTTAATTTATTGAATAAGTGTTGAAAAGTAAATGCATGCTTAAGACACTAAACAAGGCTTTCCCTCTTGATGAAAATGATATAGTTGAGAGTATAAATTAGGATGGATGACTTCACTTGAATATTTATAATTTAATCAATCAATGCTTAATCAATAAAATATTGTGCTAGAAATAATAGTTTGGTTAATGATATTCATTTATTTTTATTGTAATTAAAAATCCAATTATGGCTTTAGAAATAATCATACGGCTATTCAATGTATTTTCACTTATTTTAAAGTAAACAAGTTTAGATGAAACAAGTGCATGAAAATAAGTTGGCCGACCAAAGTAACTTTTAATATGTTAAAATATTTTCAATTTCATGTAAATCAAGTTTATAAAATGTACTTATTACGCAAAAATAAGAGTATCGAATTCTAAATATCACCTTTTAAACTTTAACTAATTAAATTAGTTGATCATCCATCCTAAGCAAACTATGCACTTACAATATACTTTGTAATATACACATATGGCAATATAACATTTATGAAAAAAAATCTTTTGACCACCATTAAATGTGACACATGTAAATAATTTTGGTGACAGCTAAAAGTAATTATAATTCCTAGTCACAAACAAAAAATGTGAGTTGGTCAACATCGGTTATACAAAATTTACGAATAATTCATGTGCATTTTTTATGGTTATAAACCTTTTTAAAGTCATAGCTAGCAGCCTTATTAACAAGTAAAAATAATGTGCAAATTTGTTTTCCTATCGGTCCATTCTCTTTAATGTGGGACCGTCAAACGTTTATAATACAGGAATAATAATCAAGTTTATGTTATTTTGCGTTGTTATACTCGTGAATTACTTCACTTACATTGGGCCCTATTTTTCAGTTTTATTATGTGGGGCCCAAAATGGGAAAATACAGTGGGCTAATATATTACTACTTGTAAACTAGCATTAGGCTTTACATTTGTCCTTAACAAAGAAGTAATTAATATAATTAAATTATGTTTGAATCAAAAATATGTTTGTTGGTTTTAAAGTGGTAATATTGTAGATGAATTTATATCTAACAACTAATTGAATGTTCGGTTTGTTATTTTGAATTTCCGAGTTCATAATAAATTCACATGATTCAATCTACTTGTAATGCATTAAATTTATTCCTTGTAACGTAATGTTTTTAATAATTAGCAAGAAAGTAAATACTGAGTATAAAAAAATTAGATTTGAGCTACATCAATTGAGTTTTATTTATTTTTATTTTTATTATTTATTAACGTACACATCATAGTTGATCAAAGTATTTCAATTATTAGTAATCTATATTGTAATCATCCATAGTTATATTGAGATTGATGTGTATTGCCTTATACCTATGTATCGTAGTGTCCCAATGTTATGATCTAATCATTCGACAATATAGTTTATTAGTTACATGTAATGATACGTTGAGATAATAAGCCAATTATATTGCTTCTTGTTTATTACAGTATTACACTTTGTTAAGAGGTGACTTTTAATTGGTTTGGATGATATTTGTGATGTATTGAATGACTAATTTTGTTGTATATATGACGTGCTATCTTTTCTTTTGCTCATTTGAGAATTCCAAAATTATGATTTCTAACAATAATTATATAATTGTGATACAAAAATGCAGGTTCTTACATACAAATGCCACTTGGAAGGAAGGGGAGTGATCATAACCATCAATATCAGAAATAACAAATAGCTAATTTTCTCCATAATAATAATAAAGAATACAAATTTTGATGAGGTTCTAAAGTGAAGAAATTAGAGCCTTATAGGAAAAAAGTGGGGGTATTCATTGATTTATATATTGATAGGACAAAGGGTTGGAAAGAATCGAATGTTGGTGTTTTTTGTCGCAAAAATGTTTGTTCTATCAAGTAAAGAAATCATAGAAAATTTTAAAAAAGAAAAGTTTGTTTAAGGTTTTATGCTTGCTTAATCTTCTTTTTTGCTTAGATTAATAACTTTTAAAGGTTAAAGCATTTGAGTATAGATCTTCCTTTTAGGATTGTATTCTCAATTACAAGTTCAAGCATCAACTCCACCTGACTACAACAAAATCATAATTTGACACGTCCTTAGCCTTAAGTATATTTAATTCTTAAAAGCAATTTTTCATAATAAAAGAGTGATATAGGTTGATTCATAGATTAGTGTACATCGAGGTGGAAAATGAGTGGATCATCTAAGTTGAATAGAGTGAATTTTGTTCGTGTATGGTCATTTTTTTGACAATGAGTCATTGAGTTTAAGTCAAATATAAACTGGACATAATTAGTCTATAATGTAATAATAAAAAATAGTAATATTTTTTGGGAACACGATTAGCCTTATTATATCATTTTCAATCGGGTTTATTTGAAATAAATCAATATCACTTAGTCATGTACTTTTGGGTACAAATTAATTAATTAGACCTATATTAGGTTATTACTTGTATAAAATATTTATTTGATGTATTAAATCAACTAGCTAGCACTCCTTCCGTCCATGTAAGTTAGTGATACTTGGAGACTAAAATAAGGGAGAGAAGGATGAGCATGAAATAATGTATTGTCTACCGCTAATTATGGTACTTATTCATTTTATGCATGAAATTTTTTTATGGACCCATATACAAGAATATTGAAATATAATCATAACTTGATTTCCTTGTTTTATAATCCTCATCACTTAAGTTCTTATTAGAAAATCTAATTATAAAACAATTGCTGGTTTTAAAAGTCATATTAGTAAAAAGAAAGGAGAGTAGGGAAAGAGAAGAAAACAATTGGAGTTGTATAAAAAAATATTTAGAATGATAGTGAACTGAAGCAAGAGGAGTATATATGTGTTAGACACATATATAATGGGTATTATAAATGAATTGATATATGGAGTATAATCTGTTAGATCCACTATTGAATTTACTCCGTATTTTTTTTATTAAAATATTTTGTTACTATTGCTAGAGCTCCACGTGTCGCATGGATTTCACTTTAAGAGTTATTTTTCGCCTAAATTTAAGATATTCAAAAAAATTTGTTGTTAATTATTACTTCTTCCTCATATAGCTAACATTTGTAATACTCCACACGTATTATTGTCAAAGTAATATCTCAATAAACAAAAGACGTTGACTATTCGGAAACAAAGTAGTAGTATGTAATAGAAGTATAATAATAGTAGTAGTATAAGTATTTAATAACTTTTCTAATTTAATATTATTTTAAAAATGCATAATAAAATTATGCATAAATTTGTGTAATTAATATTATATTTTCATTTTTTTTTTCATTTTAAGCTCTTTATATGTAGCCCTAAAGGTTATGTATAACATTTTTCTGATGATAATAAATCAAACCAAACTTCGAAATAATGAAACTCCACCTAATTGACAAAACGAGTTAGAGTTACTGCATGTGTGTTGGATGATCCTAACTATTTAATGAGATATTGAGATGTGTTGAAATTTATTCAAGACTTGATTGGTTTTGCTCTTGTCTTATATTATCATGTTGGCAATCGAATATTAATGAATTCCAGCCTATTTTATCGCATGAAATCTTTGAATTGAATGAATTCATATTTGTGCTGAATAATGAATATACTCGTACAAGTTCAAAATATATTTTGACAAATATATAGCATTGTAGCCTATTAAATTACAATCAATATCTTTGTTGACTTATGGAAGTGAAATGATTTATTTCGATTGTCGGAAGGGAAGGTGGACTCAATATTGACCATTTTTTACCAAGTATAGTATCATGTATACTTGTATTAAGATCTATTTGTATCTCGTTAGATGACCAATATGATGTACGGTTGTATTGAAAAAGAAGGGGTTGAGATAATAAAATGAGAGAGGGAAGGAAAAGAGGAAAGAGATGAATTAGAAGGGAAAAACAAAAATAATTATAATTTACATTTTGCATTACTCAATTACATAATTTTTAGAATGTGATAAATGAATAGCAATGATATATACATTTACCTTTGAATTTGTGTTTTTATATTTTAAGTATATATTTGGTTATGAAAGTAATGATGCGGAGATTGAGTTATATTATAAAGGCAATAGTTATAATAGAAAGAGACAACTCTATCTCAAATTGAGCTTGAAAGTTAGAATTAGGGTTACAATACAGGATCAGAGATACCAAGATTGTGATCAGTGAGTTTTGACCTTACTATATTTTGCTCCATAGTAAATTGTGATGTTCATGACAATCATAAATTCATAATGTTTAACATACCATATTAGTATTACTTAAAACAATAGTTAATATTAACATATACTGTATGTGTATTTTTTTATTTTTTTTATTGTATGACAAAGGATAGTTCGCAATAGAGCCATGTTACAATATCATATCGTCTATTAAACAAAGGAACAAAAGTTGTGTTACAATAGCACAAAAATGTTAATAATTTTGATAGTAATGACACGAGCAATTTTGTGGTAATGGGGGAAGGAGGAGTTTTAACATATTGGTGAAATGTGGATAGTCTTGACTTTAGAGTTTGGACATGTTGACATAGGTGGCATTGATAATGACAATAAGTGGGCCTCAATCAATTTCCATGTAGCAACTGAGTTCTTTTGAGTACATTACAACTAGTCCAGGGCCCAATGGGGCCTGATAGAAACGGGCCTCAGCCCTGTAGTGTATCGTTTTATGTCACTTTCATGTCTTTTCTTTCAATTTCCTTTTTTACCTTTTTATTTTATTTCTTTTAGAGGTAAGAAAAAGGGAGAGGACACTCAGGAGGGGATGGGAGATATTAGGAACCCTTTTCACGAGAAAAATTCTTAATATAAAAGATAGGGTGGAATACAAAGATGAGGAAGTACGAGGAATAATGTACGTCCACATAATCTCACTAATACAATAACCAATTAATATTTACGATTTAGACAACTTAGTTTGCTTCTCTGTAAACGTGACTGGTATTTGAGTGTGTTGACAATTTTATGCTCGATTTGCCACGGCATAGTCAATGTGTCTTTTGTCAAATTGAGTTGTTATATTACTTATAACAATTAGAACTTGCCAGTAAGAAATCATGAGAAAGTATACATGGAGTCTTTAGGTTTATAGCTTAATTTATGATTCTAAAGTCTTGTTTGGTTGGAAAGAAATAGTGGGGGAGATCAGAATTCATAGGATATAAAGCCACAAAGGTACCATTTAATTTTTTGAGTTCAATTTTCAATTAGAATATAAACAAAACTCTATATGGTAACATTATGATGTGGTAAAAACCTCAAAAATGTTACTGATCACAAATAGTATGTATACAATATATTCGTATGACGTGATGAGAATCTCGAACCAAAAATGGATTGATATTTTTTATCACTAATACAACGTAGTACTTAAATTTGTAAACTTATGATTCAACAATCATGGATGAGATAAACAGAATGCATGATTAGAAATTGTCCCGTATCTCTTATAGTTGTGTTAATTTGAATGTGTGAGTTAGGTTTGATGAGGTCAGATGAGATCAAATCTTTTTTAAATTTAAATTATGCGAATTTATTGTTTTCATACAAGTCAAAATCTTATAATAATTATTATTTTTTTTAAGGTCGATTTTAGATTGAGTTGTGACACCTCAAATCTCTCATAAACCGGCCACTAGCTACTAGCATTGATTAGGTTTGGTGACCATTATAATTTTGGAAGTGGGCCGGGGAAGAATCGGCCCCCTTATTATTCCTTAATTTTCATGCATGTGCATTTGTCCCAACTCCCAAGTCCCAATTCAACACATCCTTCTAAATACCAAATCTAGTTTTTTTTTGTTTTTTCATCATCCAAATTCTTTGGCTCCATTCTGTTAAATCAATTCCACAACAAATATATTAAGTTAACATGTCTCTCATACTTTGGATTTTTTCGGTGAAAAAATTAGTAATAAGTGAAATAGCCTATTAGATTAATAGGTTTATAAGTTAGTCAAACATCCTCTTCTTCTGGGACACTTAGCTCAATACAATTTACGTATCAGTTATTATTTCAATGAAGAGAAATTGAACTTATAACAAGCAATTGAAACGAGCTTGAACGAAGTTGAAATAATCAAGTCAAAGAAGTCAAACATAATTACACTTGGCAAACATATGTATCATCAATTCCCATGATAGGAAGATTACAATTTACAGATACGTGTATATCTCTCTCTTAATTTGAACAATATAGTGAACAATATAATATATGATAAGTTACCTATGTAGTCTAGATTTTGTTACCACGCTAAAGCTAATTTGACTACCACTATCAGCGTAACAACTAATTCCGGACATAACATAGTTCACTTTTTAGTTTCAAACTACCACAATCTACTCCTATATTCTTTGATTCTAAGTATTCAAGCATATCACCAAAATTAAAGATCAAAAGAACAAAAAGAGAGGGAAGATACATATATGTAATGGATTCAAAGTTTAGGTTCAAATCTCAGGACTATTATTCTTAGTATGATCTTTTCTAGTAACACAAATGTAGCAAACAATGGCAGCAACAAAAGCGAAAGCGAATCCTCCTAGGATAACATCGCCACCCATAGGGTTATCGTGATGTCGACTGACCAACCTTATGTGTTGTTGATCACCAATACTTGAAACTGCTGGAGCTGAAGCTGGAGGTTGTACGAGAGGAGCCGGTTTCGAGTTCGGTATTCTTTGTAATAGCTCCATCCTAGACACTGCCATGGAACTTGACATTTGAAACAAGATCATGAAAGAAATAAGAACAATAAATCTTCCCATCATATTACTAGCTAAAATTTAGTAAAGAGGGTATATATGATTATAATATGATTGTTATTGTATGAAAAAGTTCAAAGGTTTTTTTGGGAGTAATTAGATTGAGAGAGACTAAACTAAGCTAAGTTAGGGGTACATATATATGATGTATTTGAGTATATCTATAGGACGAGTTATGGCCCTAGATATTGTCTATGAGGTGGTGATTTTATAAGTATTTAATAAGGTTGGTATA